GGGGGGGGGGGGGGGGGGGGGGGGGGGGGGGGGGGGGGGGGGGGGGAGAAGGTCGTGCACCGCCGTCAGGTTTGAATGGACACCCACGCGCATCAGCTGCTACATGTAGAAAAAGCCAAAAATAGACCGTCTTCGTGATCAAGAAGGCTTTGCTCGGAGACGGTAGAAAAACAGTCCCTCCCAATGAGTCTTTCCTCTGCGCGCGCGAGGTATCGCCGGGCAGGTCGTCGTTGCGAAAAGTCCCCCCTGTCCCTGTCCCCGACATACAATCGAATACACCACCCCCCCTCCCCCTCGTTCTGGAAACATCAGGAACAATGAATATTCGCATGTATGCTTGGAAGTGGAGGCTTGCCGCGTGTATTTTGAGAGTTGCGTCGAGTGATTGCCCACACAGAGGTGTGCACCATCAACGGTACGATCGAAAGTCGATTACCGCATATGGTACATCCAACTAAAAAATTGCTGCTGCGCGGACAGCAACGGCGTACATATACATCGCACAGTTTCGGTCGCAGCGTCGGAGATCGTTCTGAAACAGTCAACCGGTCTACTACTGTGGGTTGGAATCGCCTAAATTGCTAAAACAACCAGATTTCCACGCAGTGGAAACAAACGGAAGGAGGAGCACGACATGACTCGCCGACAACAAACCGGTCCGTTCAATCCTACGCATTGATGTGCTGCACGGGAGTGCAGGCGTACTGGTAGCCGATCAACTACTACCCCTGCCCCGCCAGCCCAGCAAAGTCGTGGGGCCATGGCAAACGTGGCCGTTACGCTAAGGCTGGCTGCATGTTGGCCATGGGTTCGCATGCGCCCCATGACAAGAAGCGAGCGAGGGGACAGCCGAAACAGGAGCGGCGTATCTTGGGTGCTACGCACGTGCGCAGCATGGCATTCCGATATATGTGCGGCGATCGTAGGATCATGTTTACCGGCCTTTTTGGAACCGGCAGGCACATCTCGCCAGCCGTGTACGCTCGTGGGGCGTCTACGCTTTGGTTCCCTGTCCCCGCTCTGGAGGGACAGAAACCCACGGGTCACGCGTCGGTCGGTCCCTCTCTCCCTTCCTTCACAGTCTCCCGACTTGCACAAATACGGAGGTGGCGGAAAAGAGTACATGTGTCGTAATCCCACAGGTACGGCAGTAGTATGCCCCACCCACCAAAAGCAGCGGACCGATACCCGACCCTGCCTACCTCCCCACACACTGCCAAGAAGCAATGCGTCACCCTCTCACCCCTTCGTCGGTTTTGGTTTCTTGAGCTGGGTTGTTGCGAGAGAGGGAAGAAGCACGGAGTGGGTCAGGGTGTCTTGGTGTGGGTGGAGGCTACCGGGCAGAGGACCCTCCCCCCATCCCCATTCGGTTCTCTCCATTCTGACGACCCCCCAAACAACCTGCTGTTGGAATAAGCAGGAGGAGGAGCGACATCGGCTACCGACCTACGGCGCCGGCGACGACGACTATGGCGTTGCCAGCGGGAATGGGTCTGTCCGCCGCGGCGGCCGCGGCCGGCTACTCCTTCCAGAACTCGCCGTCGGCGCCACAGCAGCAGCGGCAGTTGGCTGTGACCGATCTGCTGCTCTCTGGCGGGCAGGAGCACTCCGCCAACAATAGCAGCGCCGCCGCTGAGGATACCGTCATTGCTGGAGGAGGAGGCGGAGGAGGAGGCCCGTTGGGTACTTCCCCTACCACCCCGACTGGGGCAATTCACCTCACGCGCTCTGCCTCTGGGCGTGCTGCTGCGGCTGCTGCTGCCGCCGCCGCTGCTGCTGCAGCCGCTCGGGATTCAGGACGAGCGATGAAGCAGCAGGCCATGCCTCCGCCGCGGCCAAGGTGTGTGTTTTGTGTTCGTATCAAAAGTAGTAGGTGCAGCAGATATGTACGGTGCTGCTGTAGATTGTAAGGAACGGTGTTCTCATGGGTTGTATGTGTTTGCGTGGGAAGACGAGGGCCAGCATGCATGGTGATGGCAGCAACAGCTTCATGAGAGTCGTAGTCGTACCACGGCAGTAGTACGTGCAGTTACGCGGGGAACAGGAGACTTTTTCATTTTCGAGAGCTTTCGAGGGGTGTGCGCGTTATCACGCTGTTAACCCTTTTGGGTCTACAGGCGTCCTGAATAATCATTGATTGATAACGTGCAAATGATGGTGTTGTGGCATGCCATGGAGTTGTTACCCTCTATCCCTCCACGCCAGGTGTTGGCAAGTCAAAACAAGGTAGGTGTGTCTTTATTATTCGCATCGACCGCGCTACCCGGTGACCAATACAAAGACGTCACAGCAGTGCCAGCGGGTGATATCAGGTCCCTGGAACGGCCATTATTCGAAAAATGCACACTGCTCTAAATGCGAATGCCACCATGAATCTCTCTCTCGCCATATCCTTTCACAGAGGCACACAGCAATAGCTCCACATACATGCCCTCGCCCGAATCTAGGAAGCCACTCAAGGAAAGAGAGGATGACAGCGAAAAGGGGCACTTCAAGCCCAACCAGGCCAGGATATGATCGTGGTATGCTGCATATCCTCCAAATTTGAAAATCGTACACTCCGAAGATCCAGCAAGCATCGTGTCAGCAGCTATACTTTACAGCAGCAGCAGAACAGACGAGTCCAACATACAGCAGTAGTAGTAACACATACACTATCATCATAGCCCTAAACAAACCCTCGCGTAGAGAGACACTGATGCAAAGGTAGGTGCATGCTGTGGTGTGCCTGCGTGCTTGTGGGAATTGTGGGAAAATCACAGGAGCTGTAGTGAGCCGGCAGGGCTCACATTGGGGAGGGGACAGAGAAGTACACAAGTGCAAGAAGCAGCCATTTTCACTGATCATTTGAATATACTGAAAATGGAGTAGTCTAGGCTGCTTGACGACTGATTTTTTCGAGGTGTACAAGCCTCACCTGCCCTAGCGGCCGCACCGCTACCACACATCAACCCTTCTACGACCTTGTATGTGCCCACCGTCCTGTCATAGGCAGCCCTCATGGCCTATGGGTGGAGATAGCTGTTGCGTCTACACAAGTACACACGTCTCTTTCTGCTATACTGCTGTCTCTCTCTCCCGCACACTCTCCTCCTCCCTATTTTTTTTGTGCTGAAAAAAAAAGAGCTAGACCCAAAGGGGTTAATAGTGGGAAAAATAGTGTGACCCATGTCCCTACCTCTGCAACAAACACCGTCTGCTGGGGCATCACCGTGTCCCATTGAGGTCGTACCGCTGCTGTGGCTCTGTGGCGGTACAGCAGTTACACTACAGTACAACGACAACAACTGCTGTAAATCGCATTGTATATCACCCTCAGTCTGTCGGTTCCTTGTTCTGGCGGCGTCCCAATAACTCTCTTCCCGATACAACGTAGCTGGAGGATTCTTGTCCACGGCAGCACCCGCGAGAGGCCGAGAGATGGCTCCCCCCCTAAGACCAACTCTCCAAGCTCGATTGCTCTACGACCAAGAGGGTGCGAAAAAGAACTCGATAATGTAACCGAAACCACCGTTTTTGGTGTTGGCGCAATCTTGGTTGTNGGGGGGGGGGGGGGGGGGGGGGGGGGGGGGGGGGGGGGGGGGGGGGGGGGGGGGGGGTGCCGCCTCTCCGCCCGTTACGGCAGTTGCCGAACCATGCCACCCCCATCCTCCTTGGGGGAGTGCTTGCGACAATCGATGCCGCGAAATGCTCGCATACCTACCGTACGCCTTCGTCACCACACCCACCCACGCACCCCCCCCGTCATCTGGACAGAGTCATCTCGGTGACCTCGCCGCCGCCCCCGGTCCCCCCCTCCTCCATCATCTCCGCCGTCGCCGACCTGCGGCAAGGGAGGAGCGCGGTGCTCCCCGGGCGGGGGGCGGGGCTGCAGGCGGCGCTGTGCGGAAAGCGGGGGCGCCGAGCGCTGCGGACGTCGGAGGGGCTCAGCGACGAGGTATGTTGCTGCTGCTGCGTAGCGTGGGGCGGCGGCGGCGTTTGTGGGGCGAGGGATGGACCCCCCCCCCCCCCCCCCCCCCCCCCCCNGAGGGGGGGGGGGGGGGGGGCCCCCCCCCCCCCCCCCCCCGCCGTGCTGCCGGGTGGTTGGTTTTGCTGCGAGGATCGTCGCGTTTTCTTGATGGTCGCCTTGGGAGTTACCTTGTTCGGCGATGTCCTGCGTAGATGCATGCGAACCGATTGAGAGCCTGCCTGGCTGAGCAATTGCGGTTGGTGTCGGAGTGCGGCAATTTCGTTCGCTCGTTTTATCTGGACAACAGAGGTGGAGAACTTCAACGGCGTGTCCTCGCAAGCACCTTTTGAACAGACGTTTCCCAAAACCGCTTTTCACGCCCCCCCGGTCACCCCCCCTTGTTGTTGAGGAATAAAGTACAGTAGGGAAATGAGGTTTCGATGACATGTAGAGCTCGGCACCTGAGCGGCTTGCTTGCATGGGGTGTTTTCTGTGTCATCGTATTCCTCGTGCGCACCCCGCTCTGTAATTGAGACATCGGGCATTCCCCAACAACAACGGCAACAACAACATCATAATTGTTTCGCGACACCGAAAGTAGCAAGGCTTGTCGGAATCATCGTCGGTGAGACCACTGTTTATGGCAAAAAAATCTTGATCTTCCTTTCTTTGGACAAACGTTGGCTTTTTCGACCTTGTGGGCAGTCTGCCTCCCGAACGAATGCGAATCAGCTGTTCGACCTTTGAGAACGGTCACAGCTTTGGCTGAGATGTCTACAGATCGCCTACATTTTTCGCCAGGGCCCAGGTTTGATTTTTTCAAGGTGCGCAATTTTCACGCAATATTTTTCCAACACCAGCTTTTGGACAGATCTTGGCCCAAGATTTGCTCCGAGGTGGCCTTTCGGCCGAATCTTCAACATCTTGCTCTGCTGGAAAAAAATCAAACGTGGACCCTGGCGAAACATGTAGGCGATCTGTAGACATCTTAGCCAAAGCTGTGACTGTTCTCAAAGGTCGAACAGCTGATTCGCACTCGTTCGGGAGGCAGACTGCCCACAAGGTCGAAAAAGCCAACGTTTGTCCAAAGAAAGGAAGATCAAGATTTTTTTTGCCATAAACAGTGGTCTGATGGATCTGTTTTTTTGCTTGATGTTCCTGCCTGCCGGGCCTCTGTCTACCTCTCTGTCTCCTCCCGAAGGTCAAGAAGCGGTTCCCGCGGCAGGCAGATCAAGCGGCACGCCTAACCGAGGTGGAGGAACAGCTGGACAAGAGGATCAACAGGGTCCGACGAAAGCTCCTGTACAAGGTTAGAGGAAGCTGAGAACATCAACGCACGCGCGTTCCAAAGACATGTTATCCAGATATGAACAGCGGCAAGTGTTTGCCGGTTTGTCGGAAGGGAAGCGCGCGGGCGAATCGACGTCCGGCTTCGATGTCTTGCAGGTATTTGTTTCCCTCGACGTCGCAGCGGCATGTGCATCAGTCTCTCTCTCTCTCTCTCGTTGTGTACTGTTGAGGCTCGACCGACGCCCAATGCTGAATCCGTTCCAAATCTGGCTCTGATCCATCGGAACATTGAAGCAGAAGGAGGGAAAGCCCCAACCCTGCTCTAGGACTGATGTGTGCAGGGGGAAACGACGTCCTCGTAATGACAGCAGAGAGGTTGACGAAAACCATCAGCCGGGGAAAAGGGAATACTTCGTATTTACACTCGAGCGCACAATGCTCGCAACAACAGGCAGCGGAATTGTGACTTCATTTTGGACAAGAATCTACTCGCAGCCGTACGCTCCGCCCAAGATGAAATTTGTGCTTTATCATTTCCTCCTACCGTAGGCCTGCAACCAACGAGAACTGAGAATATCCGGCTCTCAATGAGTTCCACCCCTTCTCCCGGCCCTCATCTCAATGGCGTGGCCAAATCCCACTTTCATCGGCCTGGATGAATACGAGACGAATGCGCCTTGTTGTTGCCTGTGTGAGAGACGGAAGTTTCCACCTTTTCGTCTCGCGGCCCTCTTTTTTTCCCTGCTGTATTGGTGGCGCCAATCTTGCTTCCGCTCACCTCTCACCTTGGTGTCGAGGTTCTGGTGTTCGCACTCATTTGCGGCTGTTCTTACGCATACCAGTAGTAGATGACTTCCTGTCCCTAGTAATGTCGCAGGGCCCTAAGTGTGATGGCTTGACCTCTCCCACCCACCACTGGGTCCCCCCTTGTTTTCGTGCGTTGTGTCGGCGTCACCCCCCCCCCCCCCCCCCCCCCCCCCCACACACACACAGCTGGAACAGCTGGAGTGGCCGTCCAAGTGCCTGCGCACGTGGCTGTCGCTGGAAGTGACGAGCGCGCCGAAGCCGGGGCAGAGAGGGCGGCAGCCACCGCAGCAGCAGCAGCAGCAGTCAAGGCCCGGCGCGGAATCAGGAAAGCAGGGGAACCGGAGGGGGAAGATGCCGGCCACCAGCGGAAAGGGAACCGAGGGCACACCGCCGTCGGCGGCAACAGCAGCAGCGGGAGCAGCAGCAGCGGTTGGAGCAAGAAGGGCGGGAGCGGGGACGGAGCAGGAGGCCGCTAGCGTGGCGGCGCCCAAGGCCGGCGCGGGAGAGTCGGCCGCTGCTGTTGCTGCTGCTGCTGCTGGTCCGGGAGACGACGGCATGAAGGCCGTAGATGCGGGAGGGGACGGGGGCGACGTGGAGTTGGAATGGTTCGTGCTAGCCAGGCTCCAGGGATCGTTGGTGGGCGCCCCCGCCGACGGCGTGGAGAGGCGGTTCACGTCGTTCTTCTCGAGCGTGGCGTTGGAGCTGGACGGGAAGGCGTTCCCGGATGTTGCGGCTGTGGAGGTGGGTGTTTTTTTTCTTTTGCAGGGCTGTCTACGCAAATGAAACTAAGTCTATACGAAAAGAGACCAATCAAGGGGCATGCAGACCCTTACCCTAACCCCAACCCCAACTTTGTCATTTCTATACTTTATCCACTAGGTTTGCTTACTCATTTCTATACTTTATCCACTAGGTTTGCTTACCTACGAAAGCCCTGCGTAGACTAGTTTTTACGTTCAGAACGCCTCTTTTGTGGTGCGTTTGTATGACGGGAGCGAGAAGGGTGTACTCCGTCGCAAGCCTTGCTGAAACCATGGCTATCGGTGTGTGTGTGTCTTATTCACGAGACGCGGCTGGGCTTTCTCTTGCGCCTATTCAAACACTTGATCATCGTAAACCAACTGTTTTCTTTGCCACCGCCGCTGAGATCATCGACCCATCTGTGCTTCCCTGCCGTGTGTTGCGTTTGCCGGGCTCCGCCGCCGTTTTTCCCGCTCCTTCGGACTATTCATTTCTTCCTGCTCCGGAAAACTGCCTCCTGCTCCGGAAATGTCATTCTGTCTTCTTCGGTGGAAATTTTTCTCCCCTTGCACCTTCTTCGGCAACAACGTGAAGTGGGTGCGGTCAGCGAGGTGCGAGGAGCTCCATTGCGTCGAGCTGCGGCTGCCCTTGGCCGGGTGCCTGTCGAGGGGGCTGAAGGAGATCAGCGTCAAGGCGGTGCTGGCAGCGAGAGTGGACGAGGACAGGCCGCGCAGGTTTGTGCCCCCCAAGTCTTGCCCCGTTCGCACGGCCCGCCACCTTGTGCCGTACTACGCATGGAGGCCAGAATATTTTTCATTATTTTTGTGCGTCAAACGCGGGGCCCGATTGCCCCATACGCCCGCCACGTTGTATCGTATTGAAGAGATCAGAATATTTGCATGCCTTTTGTGCAGCAATTGCATGGCCCCGTTCGCCCGCCACCATGTTGCCATGTTATGCACCAGAACATTTTTGTTTTTTTCCCCACATTAACATGAGTAGTGCGGTAAATGCATTGAGCTGCGAATGCTCCCCATCCCCTGGGCCGGCGAACAAAAACGGAATGTTGCTCCGCTCCGGGCATCGCAACGACGCGAGGTCAATGGTCTAAAAAGAGTAAGGCATTCTTTTTTGTTGGTGCACCTTGTCCCCCCCTCCGCTTCCCTCGTTTTTTTCTTTCCAACGATTGAGGTAGGGGTTAGGAGACGACTACTATGGTGAGCCCTCCCCATCCTGTGCTGAGTTCCGTTCCCTCCTCTTCCTTGTGTGTGTGGTCGGATGCGGTGCGGCAGGTTTGTCGTGTCTGCTCCCCTCAGGCAGGTCCTCCGGCTGACCAAGCGCGTGGACACGAAGCCCGTGCTGGTGAGACATTGACTCCGCCGGCGTACTTGTGTGTTTTTGTTTAGAACGCGATCGGTACGTACGACGTGTGGTGATGCAGACGGGCAGCAGTTGTGTTTTCCTTGTTGGTCCTCCTACCAGCATCGGGGCGTGGCTTTGTTCCCTATGAGGAAGGGGGTGCCGCGGTAACTTTTAACCCTTGCGATGGAGCTTGGGCAAGGAGGGTGCAGCATTCTCGAGACACGCTGACGGAGGGGTTTCCTGAGACAGGTTCTGTGAACGGCCATGGGTAAGGTGTGGTCGACGGTTTCTGGTTGCGACAATATCACTGCGAAATCATTGTCTCCGCCTTTCGAATTTTGTGGAATTGCTTGCCCACTTCTCAACCAGGCGCCGACAGACGCTTTCGTTGAGACAGCTGTCTTGCCACGCCAGCGTGCATTGAATGCAATGAAGCCCATTTGTTTTGACCCCATGAACCCAACATCCCCCTCTACGATGCATCCCTGCCGTGTCCATGACAACAAGATGGCGGCCGTTTACGAAGCTTTGCGGCTTAAGGGTGCTCTTCCCGGGGGCACAAGAGCAGCAGCAGCAGCAGCAGCAGCGGCAGCGGCAGCAGCGGATCCAAATGGTGCCGGAGGTGGGCAATTCAGTCACGGTGGCGGCGGCGGCGGTGGTGGCGGCGGGACCATGCTCCACTGCGACCCCGAACTCGCGAGGGTTTTGGGCGCGTCGTCCTTTCCGTTCAGCCAGCTGGAGGAGGCCCTCGGTCCCCACGTAGAACCCGCCGAATCTCCTTCCTTGGTTGCCACAGTCTCGTGAGTTGAACCCGCCGCATAAACTTCCTTGGTTGCCGGTCTCGTGAGTTAACCCGCCGCATCACCTTGCTTGGTCGTCACAGTCTCGTGAGTTGAATCCGCCGCATAACCTTCCTTGTCGCCACAGTCTCATGAGTTAAACCCGCCGCGTAACCTTCCTTGGTGGCCACAGCCTTATGATTTGAACACGCCGAGTGTCCTTCCTTTGTTGGCACTGCCTCGTTGAGCCGGACCCGCCGAATCATCTTCCGTTGCCGCGGCAGTCCCGTGAGTAGAACCCGCCGAATGTCCTTCCATAGTTGCCTCAGTCTCTTGAGTTTAACCCGCTCTATATGCTCCCTTGGTTGCCACAGTCTCGATGAGTAAAACTGGCCAAATGTACTTCCATACTTGCCACAACAATATCGTGAGAAGTATCCGCCGAGCCCCCATTCCTTGGTCGCCACAGTCTCGTGGGCCTTTGCCAAGTTGCTGCTTTTATGGCAAACTCGGATGAGGTCTGTTGTGTCCCGGTCGGTGGTTGCAGCAGCCGGCCTCGCGGTTACGAGGTATTTTTTTCGCGTGTATGTGTTCGCGATGTGTGTGGATGAGTTTCGCCGTTGAGCGTTGGTTGGGGTCCCTTTTTTGTTTTGCCAACCCCGACCCCGCCGGCGTGTTTGCGAGGAGTGTCTGGCCGACTCGTCACAAACCCCCGCGCTCCTGCGTGGCTCCTCAGTCTACGCTGGGTTGTTTCTTCTTGCCAGCAAACAACTGTCGACGTGGTGCGTTTACAAGAAATGCCCCTTTTGGTTTACCCCCCCCACCACCACACATGCAGATCCACATCTCCACCCTCATCTCGATATCTGTCGCTCGTCTATGGCCACAACACACACAGGCTGGAGAAAGGGAACGCGGTGGAGACGTGCGCGGACGTCACCGTTGACACCGAGACCCCCTTTCAGCTCCGGGCGGCGCAGTCTCTTCTCGGCAGCGACGGCGGCAGAGGAGCAGGAGGAAGCGCGGAGGGAGCGCCCCGACAGAACGGCGGTGGGTCAGCCAGTCAACTGCACTCGTTTGTTGGTTGGTGGGGTTCCACACCCCGCTCCAGGCGCATCCGACACCCTCCGCGTTTAACCAACCGACCGGACGGCCTTTTATCTTGTACTGCGCCGCTCTCGCCGTCAAACTCTCTGGTGCCTGTTGTATTGGTTGCAAGTGCTTTGCGGTCGTTAGCTGTTGCGGCTTCGTGTTGCTGCTCCATCGCCACCGCTGTCAACCACCCGAAACCGGCCTTGATGTTGTGCTGCGCCGCTCTCCCCGTCCACACTTTGGTACCGTTCCCCTCGTTCCAGTTGGTTGGTTGACGATTGATTTTGCTGCCGTTGCCGTTGCCGTTGCTGCTGCTGCTGCTGCTGCTGCTACTGCTGCTGCTGCCGGGTCGGTAACCGGGTCGCCCGCATTTGGCCTTTTTTTTGTTCCTCCGCAGCATTGGCCGTCGAGCAAAGGGCGGGTCTGGGAGGGGGGCCGGCGGAGGGGGGAAGGGGGCACACACGGGCGCTTGGGGTGCCTACCGTGGAAGAGAGAGAGGCGGAGCTCCAAATCGGCCGACAGGTATATGTAGCTGGAACGTGATGTAATAGCATGTAGCACCATCTCGCCGGCGTTTTTTTGCAGGCATCGAGATTATTTTTGACGTGAACATGGTTCGATGGAATGGTATGCGATTGTGCACGTCAGAGGAGTCGGCTGTGTGCAAGCGTTCCACCAGCTGGAAAGAGAGCGTCCCCGGTGTGTTGCCGCTGCTTCCCGTTTAGAAAGCGCTTCTAGCTGCAGCATACGTTCTCGGTGAAATCTACAACACGCGACTTTGTGCTGCAGAAGGTATATGCTGGCATCACCTTGTTGACGAGTTCGGACGACCTTTTTGTACATAAGGGCTGCCAGCCATCGTTGCTTGTCAACGAATGCCAGCTGCGTGCGTAACCTCCCACTCTCTCCCCCCCCCCACGTGGCCGCCACCGGTGTCCTCTGCTTTCGTTCGCGTGAAAGATTTCCTACCTTGCGGAGGCCGTGAACGCCTCCGGCAGGAGAGCCGCGATGCTCCGAGCCCTCTCCGAGGCGCCGTTGGAGGCCTTTCCCCGCCTGGATGCACAGATGAGGGCCGACGAGGAGGTATGTGGTTTCTTTGTGGTCGTTTTTTGCGGCTTTCCCTACAGTACCCCCGCCACTCCCCACCCGCAAAAGTGTATATACGACACGGTGTTGATTCTTTGGAGACATCCTGCACCGGGGGCATGCCATCTCACAGATTTTCTTGCGCTCCCTTGGTTTTGGCAGCTCTTGGCGGCGGCTGCGGATGTGGAGCGGCCTAGGCGAGAAGGGGAAGCGGAGCTTTGGTCGGATGCTGGCGTGTGCGCCCGAGTGAGTGCCTGTGTTTTATCCTGCGCGCAGGCCCTCCTTAGAGTACGTCTGCTCCTCTATCTCTTTTTTTTTTTGCTTGTTTGCGCTGCTGTGGTATTCTCCTGGTGCCACTGCCGTTGGTGTTGTCTTGATGTACTGTGTGTCCCCTGGAAGCATGCGTGGAAGCAGGCGTGCTGCGCGAGTGTTGCTATCACGAGATTGGAGGTCCTCATGGTCCGAACACGAGGTGGTTGAATTCGGCAAGCAAGGGCCTGTGGAGCGGCCACGAATGTCGAAATCTCTGTGCATGTTGAGCAACGGTCAAAGCGAAACTACTAGCTGTTCTCCCGGTTTACTGTGCTCCCAGTTTTCCACGAAAACGTGGGCGTTCATCAGCCAGTTCGTAGTTTGCGAAACGCGATATGGTTGTATCTACGCATGAATCGTCTTGGTGTTTTTGCCCACTTGTCCACGAAAACGTGGGCGTTCATCAGCTAGTCCATCGTATAAGTAGCAGTAGAACGACGCCGTAAGCACACCTACGTACATGGGTCGTCTTTCTGATTGCGCCGCCGTTGTCCCCTCTCTTCTCACCTTCGGCCCGTCCAGGTGGTGCAAGGGCGGGCGGAGGCGCTGAGGAAGGAACAGATGCAGCAGGCCCTCGAGGCGGACATCCGGGTCAGGGCGGAGCAGAACGCCCTCGCGGAGGAGGCGGCAAAGGAGAAGGAGGCGAGGGCGGCGGCGGCGGCGGCGGCGGCCATGGCCCAGGCCCAGGCGGCCCAGGCGGCGGCGGCGGCGAAGCAGGCGGCCGAGCGGGAGATGATTCTCCAGCAGCAGCAGCAGCAGCAGGCGCAGCTGCTGCGCAGGCGAGAGGCCCAGGTGAATCGAGTGATGTGTAGGTGAAACGCGTTTGTTTCATGTAGCCTACGAGTTTTGCTGGAATAGGTGCGCCGCAGAAGGGAGGTGGGGACAAAAGGATCTCGTGGGTGGCCTTGATGGCGCACGCCGCTGCGCGCCGAAAAGAACCGTCGCATAGGTGTGACAATCGACGCCCACCAGAGTAAAACGGGATGGGACGGTGGTGGCTTGTGACATGCACCGTACTACATCCGGGGGGATGGGTCTAGCGTGTCCGCTAACGACCATTGCTGTGCTGTGGTGTTTTGCGAAATGCTCTTACGACAAGCGGTGTCGTCTGCGCTCTGGCGCGTTTGGCAGCCGAATGCAGCAGTCGCGCGCAAAGCTGTACCATGCTTTACACAGTTGAGCACTTTGGAGAGATTCGTGTTGTCGTTTCGGCGTCAAACCGAAACACTGATATCTGTTCGATGTTCGAGCGTGCCAGCACACTTTAGCGACTTTGCAAGGCACGCTGGCCGATGCGATCCAGCGACCCAGGAGCAGGCAGGGCGTGGTTCTGCCTAGAAGCGACGGGTGGGGGGTTGCCCCGCTCACGTGACGAATCCAGGAGGCCTCTTGCATGTCATTGTTTCTGAGCGGTGTACAAGTGCCTTTGCTTCTCTCCTTCCCTCATCTCTGTGGTACCTTGTTGTGCTAACATCTGCTTGCAGCTACAAGAACGCGCGCTGCTTGAAGAGCGAGAGGCCAAGCGACGGCATCAGCAGCAGCTTCAGATGCAAGAGCAACAGGTACCGATGACAGACATTCGGTTCTCATTTCTGGTTATTTGGTGTCGGTGTCGAGATGTTACGTTTCGGTGTGCAGAAGGCGTCAGTCACGCCCTCTCTCTCCACTTCTGGATTACCGAGTAATGCCACGAGAGCTAGCGTGGCCCAGCGTCCTCCGTTTCATTCTGTGATTTCATGACCTCCAACAGCAACGGTAGTCTACGTATATACGGTGGGCCAACGGCTGTTGTAGCTCTTTCCCTCTGCCCATTATCTGTCTCGAGGTCACGCAAGTCGTTTAAGTCTACCTTTGCGGTGCATGGCATGACGTGATGCGAGATGGACTTACCCTATTTCGCTACAGGCGGTCGAATTGAATTTCGCGCCGGCAGTGGCATGCAGGTGGCCAGATGCCGTCATGGTAGCCCACATAGGTGCATTCCCGTGGTCATGATCGCTTCGTCCGTGTCCTCCCTTCGTCTCACAGCGGCAGGCTCGACAGCAGCTGCACGCAAGCCAGGCGGCGAGGCTGCAAGCAGCGGGGGGCGTCGGTACGCCAACGGGCGTGGCCTCCGGCATGCAGCAGCGGCAGCAGCAACAGCAGCAGCAGCAAGGGGAGATGATGTTCCACACGAGAATACAGCAGCAGCGGCAGCAGCAGCAGCAGCAGCACTACCAACAGCTCCCGCCTTCCCGCCAGAGCATTCCGTCTCCATCCCTTTCGACGGGCAGCCATCACTCGGCCGTCCGCGGTGGTGGTGCTGTTGGTTCTAGCCCGATGCCGGGTGTGCCGCTACAGCAGCAGCAGCAGCAGCAGCAGCAGCAGCAGCAGCAACAGCTGCAGGTCGCACTTCCGTCATGGCCAGGCAGAGGAGGAGGGGGGCAGGCACCGCCCTTGTCCCCGACCCCGTCTCGAGATGGAGGAGGAATGTCGTCGGGACAGCTGCAGCAGATGGCTCTGCCCCCGCTCGAGGACGAGCTCGGGCAAGGTCTCCAGCAGCAGCAGCATTTGCACGTGCAGCAGCACGTGCAGCAGCACGTGCAGCACCAGCTCGAAGAGAGGGCGGTCGGGATGTGTTCGGCGGCGGACGAGCGAGACAGACAGCTCGAGCAGACCTTGCTGGAGAATGACGCGGAAGCGGATCCTTTGGCGGCGGCACAGCGCCAGCGACAGCAGAGGTCGTCGCTGCTGTCCACCCATCAGCAGCAGCACCAACAGCAGCAGCACCAACAGCAGCAGCACAGCCGAGAGTACCAGCAGTGGCCCAGCGCCTCCCCTGAAGGCTACGCGCAGCACGGTGACCGAATACGACGTAGCGAGCAGCAGCAGGAATACCGGAATCAACCGCCGGGCGGTTTCCGCAACGACGGTCAGAGAGGGCTCAGGCAACAGGAGTACCTCCAGCAGCCGCCGCCCCCTTCGCAACGGCAAGAGCAGGAGCAACGAGCAGCGAAGCACGGCGTGCCAGAGGAGGCCGATTGGGCACGAGGGCCCCGATCGGAGCAGCAGCATCAAGAGTCGAGCGGCGGAGAGGAAACTCAGCGGATGCTGGAGCTGCAGCAACAGCAGCAGCAGCGCCGACGGCAGGAGAACGACCCGGACAATTCTTGCTACGTCGCGTGGCAGAGTCAGGCAGAGCGCCGGCAAAATGATGTCGATCGAAAACGGCCCTAACACAAAGAGAAAATATATATGTATATTTTTGTATCATATGCAGGAGAGATTGATGGGCTTCTCTCTAGCACTTAAGAGCACGCCATGAGTACGCGCTACAGCAGCAACGGCTGGAATGTCGATAGCCAGCTGCTGGGTGGCACCAAGGCTGCCTGCATAGAGAGCGAAAGCAGAGAGGTGGTGGTGGTCTTTTGACTTGCGTCTTTCTTGCTCCGAGGGGTCCTTAGGGACAATGGAGAGTTGAATGTCTTCTACGCAACTGTTGTTATCGTACGGCCTGGTCGCAGCTGGTGCTCAAAAGGCTCGCGGATGAGTCGGCTACAGAACTGGAGTTGCTGCACAGGGGAAAATATCCCGTCCCCCCCCTGCACCGCGACCCCCCGGCGGGGCACACTTCCGATTGCTACGCGGGTGTGGTGTTCTCTTTAGCAGTACGGTGTTCCTTGCCGTATCGATCGGTTCTGTGTGGTCGTTTGTGTGTGTTCTGTACCTGTCCTCGTAGCTATAGTTAGATTTGAAGGTGTACGCGGCGAAGAGTTGATATATTCGAAAAAGATGTCAAAGAACAATCAACCTTACAGTACGTCGCTGGTCAACCGGACTGTTGACACCGATAAAAGGAAGTGTTCGACACAGAGTACCGATGCAGATGCATCTGCTGCATTGCCCCACAAAAAATTTCCCACACGATTGCGAGGATTTTTTTTTGGCCGGTGAAGATAGTCAAACATGTCGATGTGTGGGAGACGGATCAGGTTGGGGTACAGACATGGGGACTCGAATGTATGTAGTCTATGTAGGTAACGATAAGAATTGTTGGTACTGAAAGACTACAATGAGAGTTCGGCGAGCTGCGAGTACGATGTTGTTGCATTGACGGCATCGGATGACGCACCCCTAGGCCTGAAGGCAATGCCGCCCAACGGATCGGACGTTTCACGAGACGTTTACTCGCTTCGACGAATGCCCACGAGGAATACCTAGAAGTTGGACTGTTTCTCCTTGGTTGGGTGTGTCGTTCATTCTTCGGTCAAGGCACAACCGTCGATACATGAAGTCCCATCTGCCGCCACATGGAAACACTGCCGATCCTCGAATCGCCGCCGATGCTTGATATGCCTCACAAATGAAGTTTCGTAGTCCCTTGTTGTGCGACATTTTACACACCACATACACGCACATACACACGGGGTCCCAGTTCATGGCAGTTAGAAGTGTTTTTTGTGTTTTCAACCGCGCTATGACGTATTTTCATTGGTCAGCCGGTTAGCGCGGTCGATTCTAATAATAAAAACACCCGACGACGTGCGACCCCCAAAAAGTACACTGCCAGAAAATAACACGCACACAAAAAATTATGTGCTGGCATTGATCGTGCCGAGAGAAGAAAAGTGTTGAGAGACACCGGCCACAACAATATATATATATGGGTTTTTGTTTCTCTCCCATCATTGGACTCTGCCGTCTGCCCCTCTGGCCCCTATCCTCCACTTCTACTGGCTAGACGGCCCAACCGGGGTCACATAGGAGGGGGGGGTTGGACCCCCCTCCTGCGTTTCATGCCTGAGGTATTTTTATCGCGAGAAGGGTACAGCAATCCCTTCCCTCGCGACTTACGAAGTCAATTATGGTTTACTAACAGACGNCCTCCACTTCTACTGGCTAGACGGCCCAACCGGGGTCACATAGGAGGGGGGGGTTGGACCCCCCTCCTGCGTTTCATGCCTGAGGTATTTTTATCGCGAGAAGGGTACAGCAATCCCTTCCCTCGCGACTTACGAAGTCAATTATGGTTTACTAACAGACGACAACATCGTAGTAGCCACCGTCGACCTCGGTGGCCGGCTGGCCCACAACCGACCTATCCGGACCAACCCCAAACGGCGGCAGTTCAACCGACAAGATCTGCAGGAGGTAGGTCGAGGCAGCGCGATGGGCTGTATCCCAACGGTTTCTCTGCAACCTGCTCGCGAGGTCGGGCGCGCCGGCGACCACCACGCAGGAAANGTCGACCTCGGTGGCCGGCTGGCCCACAACCGACCTATCCGGACCAACCCCAAACGGCGGCAGTTCAACCGACAAGATCTGCAGGAGGTAGGTCGAGGCAGCGCGATGGGCTGTATCCCAACGGTTTCTCTGCAACCTGCTCGCGAGGTCGGGCGCGCCGGCGACCACCACGCAGGAAATGGCGAAGGAGTTCACGGAGGCCCTGCTCGGCGCGGCGGAGACGGAGCTGTCTGAGGAACCCCGGAGGCGGCGCACCACGG